CCACGTCCCTCTCGGGCTGTTGCTCCAGAGCTGGATGCAGGGGGGGTGACCGTGACATACTTCAGGTTCCCTGGTTGAGGCTCCCTTTATCCATATAAACCTGCTCATGGCACTGAGTTGCCTGGTGCAAAAACAGTTAAAAGCTCCTTCCCCAGATTGCTGTGTGCAAACCACGGTCCTTGTTACCAGCTGGATTAATCACTGGTCCCAGGGACTCAAGCAGCTCAAGCTACTCAAGGCACTTGTTAAGGAGGACTTGCCTTTAATTCACCAGGGAGACAATCAGCAGCAGCATCACAACCTGCTCCAGCACCAGCACTTCTCTAATTAGGGCCATAATGAAACCTCACCCAGGCAGCTCACAGGGCTCTGACACTGGGTATGGCACAAAGAGCCCTCATCCCTCAGGACACAGCTGGAGGAACTGCTGCAACCACTTCATCTGCAGGAGCCACAGTTCTGCTGACTCCATCCACGAACCACCCCAAAATCAAACCTCTGCTAAGACAAGACAGCAGTACATTCCTCTTCCCACACTGGCAGCTCTGGAAAGGGCTCACACAGTCTCCAGTATGGGGGGGTTGAGAGAAACTGTAAGAATTGATTCCTTGAGACCCTTTGGTACACACACTGAGTGTCATAGTTTTAACATTAAGCTCAGGTGTTAGTGGTAATGAATTAATCCTGATTCTACCATTTGAAGCAGCCCAAAGCACAGACAACCGCACTCCAGTGCTGGAAACAAGCGGTCCTGCACTCAGAGCATCAAGCAATCCTCTTGTCTCAAGGTTTATGCCCTGCTAAGGGAAATGGTTTCTAGATGGGAGCAAAACTTGTGGCTGGGAATTTTCTACCTGTGTCTATAGTTCAGCCTCAGGATCTCCAAAAAGCAGCACATGGGAAAAGCAAAGCCCAGGCAGGAAGAGGGAAGTGGAAGAGGGCAGAGCAGCGAGTGCAGGATCAGCTTGGGTGACCTCAAGCAGAAGCAATGGCACTCAGCAGACACAGGAGTTTGTGCCTGGCCACAGGAATCAAACCCAGAATTAACACCCTGGGCACCAGTGCGAAAAGCAGGAGGTGCTGTGGGGCTCCCCATGGAAGTGTCTGCTCACAGGTTCACTCCTTATGTAAATCTTTCTTCCACTCCCAAACCATGGTCTCCAAACCCCAAAATGACAGAGTAGTTGTAATGTTTCAGAGGGTCTCACGTGGGGAGCAGGCTGTGGGATCACCACCTCCAGCTGAGTTTGGAGATCTGAGCCTGTACATCACTGTTCTTGCTGGAAACAAGGCCTGCCAACGACCTGCTGGGAGAGTGGAAACACAGCTGGCCCCATACCTCACCTCTGATGTGGACCAGAAGGGAGCACCAGCAAGCCTTGCACCTAGGTGATGGGGTCCAGCAGTGCAGGATCGTCCCTGCCCCTCCACAGAGAGGATGAGACAGCCACAAACCATGTTTAGTTACCATCTTTCAATGCTTGGCTTCTCCTACATACAAACTGTCACGTGTGTAAAGGTATCTGCTGTTTGAGCTAAAGCTTTTTGCACGTCAATATGCAAACAGACATCAAGATGATTTTTAGAGAGACCCAAATAAGCTTTGTTTGCAGACTCCAAGTCATAGGGACATATTAAGCCTACAAAACATCAGATTAAAGGAACAATCACCAGGAATCAGCAAACAAATCCTAGTGAATCTGAATAGTGACCTCAGTGAAGCATCAACCTCAGCATCACCCAATCTTATTCCCTAGTTATATCAATGAGCAACTTAGAACACGTTTAGGGGCAAACTCAGCTCTGACATACAGTGTCAATGTGGCCAAAGCCCATAAACCAACAGGATTTCTCTGTGGGGTAAAAGCCCCACTGCAACACATTGGTTTTGGTGCCCAACCACGGTGGGTGATGCTCTCCACTCACCAGTTTATAGCAGCATCTCTGCTCAGGCTACCAAAGGCTTTATTTCCCTCAAGACCACCAGGGAAGCAGAGCAATTAGGAGGAGAGTTATTTTCATCTCCTCATTGAGGAGGTAACACCTCTACCACCTGCAGCTCCTGAAAGCAAAGGCCTCATGTTTCCACTCCCCATGACACAGCTCCTAATTGTGCTGCTCAATTTATATCTATATGTATTGCAGTTTTCCATAGGGCTTTGTGGGTTGAAAAAGCTCCTTTCTTGTTAGAAAAGACAAAGAAACTACACTGGCAGCTCTGGGAATCAAGGTGCCTCCAAAAATCTCTACCAGTGCAACAGGTTGTAGTGATGTAGGATTCAGTTCTTACCCACCTGCTCAAATGAATGTATCTCAAATTGCAGTTGTGGCAACACCCCCCCCGATAGCATCATGTCCTCATCATATTCAGCACATCTGTGTTTTGCTTCTGTTCAAAGTTTCCCCCCCAAGTCTGTCAAAATAAGCAGCTGGATGCTTTCAGCAGCAGAATCATCTCCCAAGCACCACATGCAGCATCTCACTCCTTGATGTAATCCAACCAGGAGTCTGCAGTCCTGTCCCTTAATTCTAGTGCCGTGTCCTCAAGTGGCCTGCAGCCACTCGAGGATCTCAAAAACCACCAAAGACCTTCACAAAGCTTCATTTCTATATGATGCTATCTATATGCATCATTTCTACATGATCCATCAGGGAAACTGAGGCCCTGGGTGCCCTCAACACATGCGCACACCACAGCGGCTGGGCTCACTGAGACAGTGATGGTTATTCAAATGGGACACCAGGAATGTGTGTGGACTCTGTCCAGAGCTCAGGAAAACCTTCACAAAGCTGTTTTGAGTTACCACGTTGCAGGAAAAAAGTGAGGGCTACTCCTAACAAGACACTTGGTTCCCCTCATGCAGCATGGGAGGACCTGAAATAAGAGGCTCTACGGTGCTGCTGCCTCGGCAGTTCACACACTTGCTGCCCAAAGACCTTGCAGAACATGGAGAAGAAAAGACATTCCTCATTTAACAGAGGCACCAGAAGCCTGAGAACACAGGAATGTTGTGTGCAAGAGGGAAAACCAGCCCTGCCAGCAGCTTGTGCCTTGGATTGGAGAGCTGGAAATTGGAATTGGAAATGCACAGCAGGCAAACCCCAAGGGCAGCTTGGCTTGGCCAGATCTCTGTGCGAGGTTTCCCGAAGACCAAGGCCATGATGTGCTTGGAAGAAAATCTCTCAGGGACTCTTCATCAGGGACTGTAGCAACAGGGAAGGGGGAATGAGTTTAAACTGAAAAAGGGGAAGTTCAGGTTGGAGATAAGGTAGAAGCTCTTCCCTGTGAGGGTGCTGAGGCACTGGCACAGGGTGCCCAGAGAAGCTGTGGCTGCCCCATCCCTGGCAGTGTTCAAGGTCAGGCTGGACAGAGCCTTGGGTGACATGGTCTAGTGTGAGATGTCCCTGCCTATGGCAGGGGGTTGGAACTGGATGATCTTAAGGTCCTTTCCAACCCAAACCATTCTATGCTTCTATTTCCAGCCTTATTTTTAGTTTCACATGAAAAGTATTAGTATTTTACCCACAGAATTCTACCCATATTAGTATTTTATCTATAAAATAGAAGCAGAAAACACTTCAGCAACCTTTGATGTTAAAATATCTAATATCCAAGTCCATCACAAGAAACAAACACCAGGCACTATAAATCCAGCTGAAGGCTCCTCTGAAGTGAGAGCTTGTCACTTTTATTGCTGCTTTGATGGCATGAGCAGCATGAGCAGCCAAATACTTGATAGATCTTTTTATTGGCCCTTTTATACACGCACACATTCTGCACGGGGCAAACCAGAGAAGTTTCTCAGATGTGTTCCTGGATTGCAACCACCCCACGTCCTGCTCTCATTCCTCCACACTCACTTCCCCCTCATTTCCAGCACTCCACCAGTACCAGCTGATTGTGTTTCGTCCTTCCTCAGAGCCCATATGCTGTGGGAATGGGCACCTCCAGCATCACTCCTCACACCATCCTAAAATGGCCTTGAGTAAGTCTCCACACTGATGTCTCCTTCTCCTTGCTTTAAGCCCTAAGCACTTCTTTTGCTGTTACTCAGCTTAACTACTACAATGATAAGGCCATAAGGAAGTCAGATAAACACAAGCATGCTGTTTGCCAGTACAAATGACCTCAGAGCTACGGTCCTGTGGCCTTTTGGTGGTCTCTTGTTTTACTTTAAAAATAAAATGTTTCTAGTTTTTACTTTTCCATTTCTGTGGGAAACTGTTAATGACACAAACCAAAAGCTGCCTGTGAGCAGCTCGTGTAGATACATCCTTTGACAGTGGCTTAAAAATCCAGCAACTAAGTTTTGCCTTATGTTGTCATGGATTAGGAGCACATTCTGTTACCAGTCAAGGCACAGCCGATTTCTTTGTGAAGTTTTATTAGACGTGTGAGCTTGTCTGATTCCAACTAAAGGGAAATGATGTTGTGACCAGAATGTGATCTTTTGCAGAGCACAGAGGAAATCTGCACATCTTCCTCTACTGCAACACCTCTTTGTATATTACCCAAAGCCTCTGACCTTTCCATCTTGCTACTCAGAAGAAACTGGCTTTCAGCGTTTAAAATGTGTTGTGGTGCATCAGACTGAGTGTATCCAGAGCCTCCTGCAAAGCACATCTGCCTCCATTCAGCTCCTGCACCCCAGGGGAAGGAGATTCCCCTACAGACAATCCCTCCCACACCAAGGAAGCTCCCCTGGGGGATCCCCTCCACTTTCTCCTAGCAATAAGGAGATCAACAAAGAGCTGAACATGAAGAGAAAGGGAGCCTCCCACATGCTCAGAGCAAATAATTCCCTGTCTCCATCAGAAGTATCTCACTCAGGGTCTGGTCTGGAGTTAAACCATTGGCCAAGCTCCCCTCTGCCCCAATCCACAGTAGGAAACAGAGGAGGGAATGAACTCGAGCACATAAGAAAGGTCCAAGGAGCATAAGCCAAAACAGTTCTCCACAAGCAACCTTCTTGACCTCAGAGCCTAAAAATCACTGTGAAGTGCCAAATATAGTGCTATATACGGTGCCCTGTATATAGCTTGTGGGAGGTGACAAAGGGAATCTCCCAGCAGCCTGAGCTCTACTCCTTAGCAGCATTTCTACTGTTTCATGTAGAAAATACGCACTAATAACAAAGCTTCCCATCTAACTACTATCTGAGCTGTTACATTCCCATGGGGAAGAGGAGATCAAATGCATCCCCTGGAGATGCAGACATAAGCTCCACTGCAAAGTAACAGGATGTGGCTGCAGGATGCAAACCTCTCTCTGGTTCTGCCATGCCTGGCTGCTTACCTGGGTCATCTTGTCCACGGAGACGGGAATGCCATCGATGGTGAGGGGGGGCAGCTCCGAGTTAACCTCCTGAGGCGCAGGAGCGTGTTCCGCTAGCGCAGACTCCAGGTCTTCCAGGATCATGCTCTTGTACTTGCGTACCTGGAGGGAATCATTAAGCTCAGGTAAACAAGGCAAGGAGCACCAGGAGAGGGGATGCCGCTGCGCCAGCTGCTTCCCCAAGGTGCTGTGGAACAGAAGGAGCAAACAAGAAGCTGGCAAGAAAAACACACCCACTGGCCCTGAGGACTTGGCTGTATCAAAGAGCTGCTGATGAAACATCAAGTAACACTGGCAAGAGGACGTATTTATGGGATTAAAAGTTCTGAAGCAAGAGGTTCTCAGGATCTGCCCCATCTACTGGCTGGTCTGCAACAAGGTGCAAGCACTGACAGCTGAGTTCAAACTTATCATCACTATGGGCTCCCTCTGGTCTTTAATCCAGGATATTCATCCCTGGTGAGATGAGCTGGGCAACCATTCATGCAGTGAAGACAGGACCCCAGTGCTGCCCTCATGTCCTTACAATCTGAACTCCTCTTTCCAGGGTTTTAAACATGACTTTCAGATCACTACCAGCCTTGCAAAGCTGCCCTGAGCAGAATGAAACCTGCAGAGAAGGTGAGCAACTTATTACACAGCTTCTCCCAGAGACACCTACCACGTTCTCCAAGGGTGCAGCACCGAATACTTTAAAGACAGGGTTGGGTTTGGAGGGTGAGATGCAGAGAACGATGGCCTGCTGCCCCACTCGGGTGGTGTACTCATCCAGCGTGGCTCGGAGCTTCCTGAAACACAGGCAGAGAGCAGTGAAACCAGCTGAAAGCCCTGCAGAAACACAACCCTTCACATTGTAAATTCCCTTTCTTAATGCTGCCCATTCAGAAACCAGGTGAGAAATGGAGCCCCAGATGGTCAGACCAGCCCCATATACTGCTTATTCCTCTGCTGCCGCAGGCCTGCTGTGGTCCCCGCAGTCACTCAGCAGCTCAAATATCACTTATTCTCCCTCCTCTCCTTTTTCCATTGATGTATAAAGCAAAAAGAAACCAGCAGAGCAGCAAAGCCAGGACAGCAAGAGTCTGCATGTCCCCTCTGTCACCAAAGGGTATTACACAAAACTTGGAAGGTAAAGGATTTGAATGATTCAACAAAAGAGGACTGTAAATACAGGTTACTCCACATCCAACCTTGTAACAGAGTATTGCAATTCTCTAGTAGCAAAGTCCTGCTCAAACCGGGACTGTCAGAATTCAACCTACAACTACAGGACAGGCAAGAAGCAGAAATACTGCAACAGCTCAGCACAGAAAACCCAGGTATTGAGACAGCCGCCACATCAGCAAGTCCCTTTGGAACAATCTCTCTGTAGGAAGAAAAGGTTCCATCATACACAATCACACTTTCTGTCTTGTATCCCACTTAAAGCAATGCAAGAGAATGTGTCAGAAATGTTGGCAGAAACTCAAGAGAGAAGCAGAGTTTATCACCAGATAACCTGAGCACTCCATTAGGTGACACTGTAGGATCAGCCCTCGTCACTTCAGAACCTGCTGTTAACAGCAGACCTGCTGCCAAGAAGCACCAAGATCAGCTACACGGAGATCCCACCGTCAGAAGTTTAACTTCCCACTTGATTCAGTGGTGTAAAAATCAAGGAAAAATGTGTTAAACTGATCAGGGTGCAAAAAAAGGATCCATTTTGCCAGTATCTGGAATGCAGTAAATGAAGTAGTTGCATGAAGGGAGAAGAAATAATTCCTTCACAGAGCAGTCTCTTTAAGACAATATTACTCACAGTTCAAGAGAGAAAAGCATCTGCTCTTCAGAAAGGTTGCAATGAACATGGCTGATCAGCAGAGTTGGGAGGAGGGAAAACCAGAATGGAGCTATAGAAGAAAGGGAATCCACTCCCAGGAAATCTTACTTAACACAAACCCTGCTCCACTTCGTTCCTGTTTGATCATGTGCAAAGGGTGCTGTGGGACTCAGAGGATGAATGGCAGAGTAAGGAAATCAACTTAATTTCTCACCAGCTTTACAAGAGTTACGCTAGGAGAGAGGGAGAAAAGGCAAACCTCTGGCCATCACTACTCCAGTGCATTAAGTGTGCACACAGGAGGAAGTCAGCAAGAAAGGGAGTGACAAATACTCCCAACTCCTCTGACATAACCCAATTACATCCAAACCAGCTAAAAAGGCAAAACCTGCTTTATTCCAAATGCTAGTAAATAATATCAGTTGCTATTTGCAAGTGTCCCCTTACTGGCTGGCAGATGATGTCTCCAGGCTTGCAGGAAGCCTGTGCAGTCGCTTCAGCACTGGTGCTCCTCGGTGGCCATCAGGTGGGCAGACAGCCTCAGAGCACCTGTAACGCAGCACCTGAAGGGCTATGGAGGTTTGGTGTCTGCAGAGCAAGTTGCTAAAGCCAGAGGAAGTGTTTCAGCTCTGGCAGGCATCTCCCCTTGATTATTCTCCCCCAACACTGTTCACTAAAGGCTGGGTCAGACTTCAGTGTGCAGCTCACGCAATGGGCTCTGCTGGCAAAGGAAACTCAGGTGCACACACACAAGATTTAGTCACAGAATCATTTCATAAGGCAGAAAGGACTTTTTCAGGGGGCTGGAGCAGCTCTGCTCTGGAGCCAGGCTGAGAGAGCTGGGCTGGGGCAGCTGGAGAAGAGAAGGCTCCTGAAGGGGACACCTTAGAGCAGCTCCAGGGCCTAAAGGGGCTCCAGGAGACCTGGAGAGGGGCTTTGGACAAGGGATGTAGGGACAGGACAAGGGGAATGGCTTGAACCTGCCAAAGGGGAGATTGAGATGAGCTCTGAGGCAGAAGCTCTTCCCTGTGAGGGTGCTGAGGCGCTGGCACAGGGTGCCCAGAGAAGCTGTGGCTGCCCCATCCCTGGCAGTGTTCAAGGCCAGGTTGGACACAGGGGCTTGGAGCAACCTGCTCTAGTGGAAGGTGTCCCTGCCCGGGGCAGGGGTTGGAGCTGGAGGATTTTTAGGGTCCTTTCCAACCCAAACCATTCCATGATTTATTAGGTAGGTAAGTCCTTTGTGCCACTGAAGAGCAACGTTACCATGACAGATTCAACTTGTGACCAACTGGGATAAAAACACAAGGGTGGATCCCACCAGAAAGCTCAGGCAGTCCTGCTGATCATAACATCCCGTGGGAGATGAGCAGAGCTGCATTTTACCCTGTTTCTCCAAACTACCACACAGCTCTTGGCTTGCACAAGAGATGCCCTAAGAAAAGCCCAAGCTGGACAACTTCTGGACAGCACCGGAGGCAGAGCAAGGCCACAGACTGGGGGTGGGAGTGCAGGAGGAGCTCTTACCGTAGCAGACGAGTCTGCTGCCTCTTGCGGATGGATGGGTTGGACTCAAACACATGTGGTCGCTTCCGTTTTTTCCCTGTCGCCACAGCAGCGGCTGCTGCCATCCCCACAGGGCCTGGGAACCAAACCACAGAGGTCAATCAGACATGGAGCTCAGGGACTGGCCAGAAGGGACACTACCATTGCCCCCCGCCAAGGATGGGTCCCAAGGGATCAGCTCAAGGGCCTCCCCACCAGACCAGGGTGATGTGAATTCCCTGCTGAGCTCTCCAGCACTGGAGATGTGTATCAAAAGGCTCCCTTCCCAAGACTGGCAAATCCCAGCTCAGTCCCAGGTGAAAGTCACATATTTCAGTCCAAAGTTTTCCTTATAATCACATAATTATGTATTTTATCTTCCAAACAGACTGAAAAACTCTCAAGTATACCAAGACTTTAAATAACCAACTACAACTGAGGAGATCCCAGTGGCAGGAGAGAAGAGACTGGGTACAATGCCATGAATCCTCGTGGACACCTCAGCTCCAGCAGCAGGAGTCCAAAGCTTTCCCCAGGGATTAAGGGCCAGTTCTAACAGGAAAGAACTGGTAATCCAGAGTTCCCAGCAGCATCCTACAAGAGGCCCCTGAAGAGCACTGGGGACCACAGCAGGGCAGGGCTATCACTTCCATGACCAAATTCAACACAGACTCCATGGAAGGGGAAGTTTCGTGAAGTGGAAGTAAATCAAGCAACAAGGAGTGGGTTGTGCTTCTATCTGTGATATCCAGAAACGAGTGCAGGGCCAGGCAAAAAGCTGCAGGCTCAAGGACTTGCCCTTGACTCCAGAGCAGACCTCAGTCACTCTGTGTAGTTTCTCCATGTGTCAGAGTGAAAGATCACACCAGGGATCACAAAAACTCTTTATTTTTGTGTTTAACAAAGATGCAGCTACTGGATCAGGAAGTCCTCAGCTCATGAGTAGTGGAAGCTGGGAAATGATAACCAAAGTAGTGTCTGATGATACAAGTTCTCCAAGCAACTGCTCTGGGAGACAGAGCTCTGGGTGACACTGCAGAGCCAGGTTTTGTTAATCACTAACAAAGCACCTGAGCACTACCCTGGCCAGAACTGCTGCATGCTGCTCCAAGGATCCTGTGCTTGGGAAAAATGGGATAAAATCACTGTCTGTTGGGGGATTAGAAGAACAGCTGCTCTGGAGAAGAGAGGAAGAGCCACTCTGGGCAAGCGTTGGGCTGGATGAGCCAGTGCCTGCCCCAGAGAAGTGGGGCAGCTCCTGGCTTGGGGTGCCAAGCCCTGGCCAGGGGCTGGGGGGGTGCTGGGCAGCCCCTGCATATGGAAGGCTTGCAGGCAGGCAAGAGGCACCAGATGTGCCTCCTGCAACCA